AAAAACATTCTGATATTATATGCTATGCAAAATATGGAATGATTTTCCTTTGGAAAAATGTTTAGAAAAATAAATTTAAAAAGGGGCAGTTAAAAGAAATGGTTACAGAATTATTATTATTGCTTCTAGACCCCCTAGTATTGTGAACTAAAATTTAGTCTAGCTTTTCCTGTCCTTTGGTGTTACCTGCTAAAATGCAGTAGTATCAGGAAAGAAAATTAAAAAACAAAACAAAACAAAAAAAACCAGCACAATAGCTATTCTCTCTTTCCAAGAATCTGTGACAACTCTTGTTAATCATTATTTCCAAATCATCTAAATTGGGAATGACCAAGAAAGTTAACTGAGCCCTAGAGGAAGTAGCTTCTTAGCCATCATTGAGTAATTAAGATTTCCAAAGTTATAATTTTTCTGGAAAATTTAGGTTTGCCTTCCTCTAACTTGTAATTGAAAGACTATTTACCCCAAAAGAATTTTAAAAATAAAAAATAATTACTTTAAAGTAAAACTGCTCTTCTAACAATCAAGAAACAGTTACTGCGTATTGTTTACTAACGAGGCACAATAATATCCTAGGTACTTAGGATTCAAAAAGGATTAAAACACAGTCTCTTCCCTCAAAGGCTTAGACAAAAATAGATGTAGAGATGGGAGTTGTACTAATAAAAATATATTTTAAAAATACAAATTAGTACACCCATGTTCATAGCAGCATTATTTACAATAGCTAAAGGAAGGAACCCAAGTGTCCAATGACAAGATGAATGGATAAACAAAATGTAGTCTATACAGATGGTGTAATATTATTCAGTCCAAAAAAAAAAAAAACAAGGAGACTCTATTACATGCTACAACATGGATGAACCTTGAGGACACTGCTAAGTGAAATAAATCAGTCACAAAAACAGAAATATTATATGATTCTATTTATATGACATATCTAGAGTAGTCATATTTATAGAAATAGAAAGTAGTGTGCGAGTTGCCAGGGGCTGGGGGGAGGAGAAAATGGTAGCTATTGTTTCATGATTACAGAATTTCAGTTCTATAAGATGAAGAAGTTCTAGAGATTGGTTGCGCAACGATGTGAATATACTGAATAGTGAACCATACACTTAAAAATGGACAATATGGTAAATTTTATGTTACATGTATTTTACCACAATTAAAAAAAAATACTAATTGGCATAACCTAAGTGCCAAGCAAGTGGTGCAGGAAAAAAGTAGTTAAGAAGAAGAAGGAGCAGTTAAGACATGTGGAACAAATTCAGTGAAAGCTCAATACCTTTTCTTAAAAGAAAAAAGACTCAAGTAAGCAGATGGGACATGAAGGAAGGTATCACAATCAAAAGCAATGGCAAAGAGATAGGAACAGATATCATCTAGGAACACAATGTAGATCACAGTTTGACTAGCTCACAGGCTTCAAATAGAACAGCCATGGAGGACAAGCTGGAGGGTAAGGTTATGAAATAGGGAGAAAATGATTCAATAGAGACAATTCTTCTCATTGAGAAGCTTTCACTGAAATAAATGATAGCCACACTTACTAATGATAGTAAAGACAAGAGGAAAACTGGAAATTGAAAATTCCATAGATGTATCTCTTATTTATATACTCCAACTCTATAATAATGGAAATAGAGAGACACGTTTTAAAAGTTAGATGCCATACCTTAACAAGATATGAGCCAAGAGATAATAGTTTGTGTAAAGAACCAATATGCACATTTCATTTGTTCTGACTGGCAAATTATTAATTTTATCATCAGTACTGCGCATAAACTAGCATTTTAGAAGGTCCCACTCTGTAAATGATGCTACTATCACAGTGAGATGTATGTCCTGAGGTAACTCGATTCATTAACAGTAGGTACTGCAGGTTATAGACACTTTTAAGAGATAGATTCATTATTCCAGTTGCTATTATGAAATCAACCTCCAACTAAGCGCCAACTCTGAAGCAGGATAATCACCAGGTACCCTAAGCCCACTACACTCTTTACTTAACAAAATCCTTTATCCTAACCCCAAGAATGAAAATTTCTATTCTCCCTAAGTACTTCAAAATCTTAAACCAAATGTTTCTGAGTAATCTTCTATGATTTTAAGCTGTGCTAGAGCTTGGTTAATATTCATCTCTCTTAAAAATAGTTTTCATATATATTACAGACAGCTAGGATATAGATGGAGAAACAGACAAAAGGAGACTATTAGTCTTTTCTTAAACTGAAAAGAATCTGCTTTAGATCTCTTAAAGTTCCCCATCTTCTCTGGTCTTTAGTATGGAAATGATTAAATTGCTATGCTAATTAGGTTGTTCACATCACTCATGTCTAAACAACTTCCAGATACCTGAATCAGAGGCCGACTTTTCCAGCAGCCACAGGAAGACAAACATTTTCTACAAAGGAGAAAAATTGTTTTGGCTGAGCAAACACCTACCCTACCTTTAACTTCAGCTCCTGGTCAGGTTTGTTTTCCTCCACTTCTTTAAGTCACTAAGGAAAATCAGAGAGGAGACTTTCTTCAGATCTATTCTTTTATTTAAGAGAGTGAAGGAGAGACAGTGTGTGTGTGTGTGTGTGTGTGTGTGTGTGTGTGTGTGTGTGTGTGTGTGTGTGTGCATGTGCACACTAGCGCATTAGAGGTATTGTTCCTGAATGCTCATTTAATTAGGCTTCGAGGACTAGACAGACAGACAGACATACATACACACACACACACACACACACACACACACACACACACACACACACACACACATATCTATACATAAAGAGATAGAGAGGTGTGACATAATATTCACTCTAGGAAAACAGGAACTAGATAATCTGCCCACAACACACAATTCTTTAATGCACTGCCACAATAATTATAGGAAAATAGACTCAGTTCCTGCTTTCACATAAAGTAATGAAGTGCAGTTTGGCCTCAACTTCCAATCTACTGAAGCTATCTCCTTAAAAGCCACTGATAACTGTATGTGGGTTTTCTCCCAGTCTCAGATTTCACTGACTTCTCTATAGCCTCTGACACCAGTGACCACACCTTCTCTGAAATTTCCTACTGATGTCTGTGTTGCAGCACCAGCCCATACTCTCATCTCTCAAGTCTTCTGTCTTTTTTTCTTATTCCTGTTCCCTAAGTATGGACAACCAGATTTCTCTACTTAACCCTATTCTCTCTACATACTGTTTCCCACAGCGATCTCCTACAACTTTGACTGTCATATCAGTGGAAAAACTCCCAAACCAAGAACCCCAACCTTGACCTTTCCCCTAAACTCTAGGTACAATTCTTTTGGAACCAAGGCTTGAAACCTCAAAAGTCAGTTTTGATGCCTCTTTCATCCTGATATCCAGTCAGTCAGACAGTCCTGCTGATGTTTCTTTCAAAAAACTGAAAAAGAACTGGGATAAAATTTGAAAGACTAGATTTTATTCCTTAATATATTTATCTGTATCAAACTCTAAAACTTTAATAAACCAACATTTCATCATCTGTACAACAGAAATAGTGTCGCTTCCCTACTTACTTTACAATAATTGTGACTGTGCACTACACAACTCCTAAACCATTACATAAATATCATTATCCCAAATCTCCCTATTAATTTCCATTGTCACCCTAGTCTAGTCATTCATTCAGTTATTTATCCATTCATTCTTCTTTAATTATTCTTTCTACACATATTTATTAAGAGCCAAATATACACTCGGCACTATGCTTGGCGTTTACGACGTTAACGACAGGACAAACAGACATATAGAGCCTAACCCAAAAAACTTACAGTATAACATGAAAGTCAGTATAGGTGCATGCCGTTGTGAGTGGGTTCTCTGGGAAGCTTTCCAGAAAAAGAAAGATTAAAGCAAGAAACAACACATAAACAAATAGGAATTAGTACAGTAAGGAAGTGAGAGAGAGTGGAAGTGGAAATCAAGGTGGAAAATTCCAGGCAAAGAAAACAACATATATAATGCCCTCAAATAAGAATGAGCCTCTTAATTATGCTATCTTCTCTCCCACATTTATTTACACCTTTGTTCCATTTCTTTTTCTCCCTTCAAAATCTTTCTCCATTCTCCCATCTTTGCCACTGAAAGCAGATGCATCCTTCAAAGTCCAGATCAACAATATAAACTCTGTTTCAAGAATAATATTTGGTTCCTAATACGCATGAAACATTTGCTAAACGAATGGATGATGAAATGGATCATTCTGCCCAAATCACAAATATGCATGTGCCTGCCCTATCTTCTCTTGAAATAAAGGACATATTCCCATAGTGCCAACTGTATAACGAACACTGAGAAAATATTTGTAGGATGAATACCTCTAATAATTTAAGACTAAGCGGAGTTGTTAAAGAATATTTTCATCTTCTACCTCTGACCTTACAATGACTTGTCAGAACAAAAAGTCTAGAAACTCAAAATACTATTTAGACATAAATTATATTAGTACTCAGACTTCCAAAAATCTCTCGAGAATGGAATTTACTTTTTATTTAATTTTTGGATGGCTTAATTTTAATTTTTAATATTTTTGAATGACTTTCCTGTAAAAACCTCTAAATTTAAATAGTGGTAGAGATAAATACTGGTGGAGATAAATTATGAGATATTTATAGAATCTCTCATAAAATTTGAGAATATTTATAGAACATAAAAAGAAAGTCTTTAATTAATAAACTGGACAACCTAAAAAAATTATTTAAACCATACCTTCCTAAAACTAAGACATATGAGGAAATGTAAACTGTACTTTTTAATTGCATTTAATTTTCGTGTTGTCATTTTTTGAATCATGCCTCAAGTCACCATTGAGAATTTGCTATGAAATTCATAATTTGGTATGAAAAAAACCTAGATTAAATCTGGGTCATTTCATTTTTTAGATCAGAGAAGGTCACATGCAAAGATAGAAAGAGGCCTTCAAAGAAAAGGCAAAAGTGTTAAATAAGAAAAAAATTCCTAGTTGTGGTATACCAGTACCTGTAGGAAAAGCAGCCCAAGGAATAGCAGGAGATGTAGTTTGGGTTTCACCGCTTCCACCATCAAAAATCTCTGCAGCCTAGAAAATAAAGGCATAATTATTGTAGATCTGAAAAGCGGAAATGCTATGTAAGCAATCGAACTTCCATTTCTACAAGCATATTCTTTGTAATACAACACACATTTTCAAATTCCCTCCGAATGCTTAATTGCTTTTCAGTCTTCATTGCTACCACCCCAGCATTACTTACCACCCCTGTACTCCTGCTCTATGATCTTTAAGTAAAATGTTCCTTTCTTACTCAGATATATCTCCTGCCAATAAAATTTTTACTGTATCTATCCTTAACCACATTTTCAGTTGTAAATTTTATGTCTAAGTACTCTAAACTAACTTACCACCTTTACCCATGTATATAAAAAAAATAAATCCTTTTTCTTTAAAATTCTTGAGACCAAATCTTTTTCAATAATAGCATAAGACCTCATTAGAGATCAATCTAAAGAAACAGGATTCATCTAAATTCTTGAATAATCCACCAGCTGGATTTACTAGTATTCAACATGTAGAATTCCTAAAGCTGACATTTTAAACTAACCAGCCCTCCTATTCGACACTTTTACAACTAAGGGACAATTACTTAATGTTGAGATGCGGGTAAAGTGCAGTTTTCTGTCTCTTAAGCATCCAGGTCAAAGTAAAATTATTATAGAAAAAATATCATAATTTCGATTCACATTCTGCATTGAGTGTCAGCCAAGGAGAAGTTGGGGAAATCTACCACAGGGGCTAAGTGATGTAGAGCACAGTAGCTACTCTACAAACTATGAAAAATAAACATGGTTTATATAACTAAGGATAATGAGCTTCTATATTTCTACAACAGGATATGGAAAGAACGAAACCTAATAACCGCAATTAAATTGGCATGGTTGGTTAACATTGCACCTATGCAATATTAAAAGTAATAGATCCACTGACTATAACGTTGAAGTATAATTGTTCCTCTAAGAAGCACTACCTATTCATTTTTTTCTTAATATAATAAATCAAGCATGATTTAAATAAGACTATACCAAGTTTTAACCTTCATATAATGAACAATTTCTAAACAATAAACTAAGATTACATCTAAAACACACATTTCTTCAAAATATAAGCAATTTTAACAAAATTTTAATTGTTATATTTCAGTAACATAAACAAGATTCAATCACCCAATAAAACCCCAAATATTAATATATAGAAAACATACAAATGTGTTAAACCAAAAACAATTTTAGATGAAATGTAGAAAAGCGGTGTTAATATTCTAAATATCTCCATATTGACAGAATTAAAGATCAACAGAAGCATAAAAAAAACTCAACTCACACCACTCTTTCATGATATTCAGAACACTGGATATATACTTAGTATCTTATATCTCCTATTAATGTCATTAATTATACTCCATATTTTTAACAATCTCCTTTCACCAAATTCAAACTATGTTAAATCTTACTAAAAAAGAAAAATCACAAAGCTCATTTGATGGTAGTTCCAGGATTTGAGCTCATGCATCCTGACTCCTAATCCAGAGATTTTCCTGCAAGACTATACTGGCTCCATAAAAATAACTGGGTTACAAAATATTTCAATAAAATGAACACTCACTGAAAAGGATTAAGGAAAAGACAGTGTTTCTTCATCTAACAATTTCCACTTAAAAAATATACAACTCAAACCTGAGAGAATAATCTAACAACATAAACATACTAATTAGCTCTTTAAACCACCAAAAGGCTATATAGTTAATAGACTAACTCAACTCATTACAGGTGTAAACAAGAAAATATGTAACAGATCTTCAATAGTCATCTCTCATCTCACAAGTATTTCCTAATTGACACATATCCCAACAAAATCATCTGCTGACAATTTTTAAAACCTCTTCTTTAGTGCTTCCACTAGTAGCACTTAATTACCTTAATTTAAACCATTCCTATGAGCAGAACGAAATGTTCAATAATAGTAAATCAGTTTAACTTTCAAAGAGGATATATTTTAATTTCCCTTGATTTTATTTGTTATTCCAAAGCTACATTCAAAATCATTGAGAAAGAGATCGTGAACACCAACGATAAATAAAACATTTCAAAGTTAAAATTTGAACAAAGTTAAAACAATTACATAAGCAAAATAAGATAAATCATACTGCATACCTCAAAACCACCAAAATCATCATCATCCATTCTTCAAGTGCACCTGAAAAATAACGGAAGACACTGAAAACTCCGAACACACAGTCATTTATGTCAAAACACTCTCTGACTTAAATGTATATACATCGTGATTTGTAAATTAAAACTATTTCATTTGGGTTTTAAAAACAATCCTTTTTAAGAAACTATGTGTGTATGCATTTTTAACTCAAAAAGACTGGATTTTTTTCTGGCAAAATTAGCCATTCTGGCAACATTAGCAATTTCTGTGACTTTTTCAGCAACCATGTATTTTGCCATTTTATGTTGAGACTCCAGGAGTGGAAAAATATTCTTTTACATTTTAATTTGCTTTTCCCAAATTGGCGCTAGGGCTCAATTCAATAATGCTTCCTGCTTTTTGCATCTATTCTTCAGTTGTCTGGCAACATCAGCACAAACTCTAGCTAAGAACAGGACTGTGGTGAATTTTTGGAAATCTGTCCTCCACCACAAAGGTTCTTCCCTTGGTTTCATGGCCGAGGTTGATTTAGATTTTCAAAATTGATCAGCATTTTTGAGCTGTGGCCACAACTTCTGGAGCATTTTGATATGTGTATTTTTAGCTAAAACTGCTTTGCACTTTTGGAAAAATGTGGAGCAAGTTACTAGGCTGATCAAGATAAATCAAGTCATGTATTCATGGGAGAGCAGGGGAGAGAAAAACACAAGCAAATATCCAGAATTCCTCTCTACTTTACCCTTAAAGTATGTAAGAGAGATAGGCAGTAGGACAACACATGCTTTATTTTGTCCTAAATGTATATCATAAAAATAAAAGGAAAAAACCATGAGTACTAGGGCTTTTTAAAAAAGAAGAAAAAAAGAAGCTTTTATCTAATAAACCAAGAAATAACTAAAAAACCTGGAGAAGTAAAATAAGAAATAGGTGGTATACATTAAAATAAAAAATAAATTCACAATAAGTTGTGAATCAGTAGCTGTAAGTGATATTCTACTGAATAATAACTGGTTTCCTTTTCTATATTTCAAAAGTGAACATATCCATATATTAATTACAGTTTCCTTGACTCAGTAATACAATAAGGACTTAATTATAGGAAAACAGTCTTCGCCAACTTCTTAAAAATAAAACAGCTAAATGAATTAAAGCGCATCTTAAGCAATAATTCTAAAGGCATTTTCTATGGCACTTTGCTTTGAGCAATGAGGCAGTAGTCATCTATAGCTATGCTTTACCTTTTCTCTGAAATTAATACTAATGCCTTCAGAAATAAAACCAAAAAAGGAAAATAAACAGTAAAAAACTATCTCAAGGATTGTTTTGCTTTAATAAGCAAAGAAAATTTATTTTCACAGAAACTCAGTAGGTAATGACACTAAAAGAAACATATGTAAACAAAAAAATCTTACAAAAAGGTAGGACATTAAATTAAACTGAATATGATACAAGTATTGTCACCATTACTCATATTTTAAAATTCTAATCTAAAAACTTTAAAAATCAAAACTAAGCCAGTCATCCGCATACTGCACTTAAAAAATATAAACCAGACTTTCAGAAACTTTTGATGGTGGTTAGTTTGAAATGGAATTCACATTAATTTTGTGTCGCAACTGAATAGAAATCTGTATGTGATTACATTTTTTCATGAAGAAATTAGGAAAGAAGAGTGATATGGATACCGAGAATTAACCAAGTCAAACTATAAAAACCAAGTTTGTCGTTTCCACATGTATCCCACAAATCTCAGGAGACAATTAAAAAATATTTTTAGCATCTACAAACACTGTACCCGAATAATATGGTTTCAAAAGAATGGAATTTTTATTAGAGTAATGCTTCTATGTGTTTTCATAAGACATATCCCAATAAATTATTTGTAAGGTGCCAGAAAATTTGAAAACAAAAACAAATACCCATGCCTAACAATCATTTCAGCTTTGCATAATGAACCAAATACCATCAGGTTCTTAAGTACCGATATAGCTCTACAAAAGAACATATTGGTGATCACTGACGTCTTCCATATCTCAGCACTTTTTCATATTAAAACGCAGATGATAGTTTTTCTCTATTTTATCATCAAAGAAATATTAATACATTTTAAAAGACAAATGTGTCCTGAGTTTCTTAAAATACAGTATTAGAAAAAAACAAACTTTATTCTAAAGCAATAATCTTTCTCTGAATAATTTAGTTTCAAGTCTTGAAACAGTTTCTGTTCCCTTCTGAACATTTTAAAGATCAGGAGGAAAGAAAACTACAGCACTGAATTAATTTTACAAAATATAAAAACAAAAAATTAATTTTTAAAAGGAAATATTACAAGTGTGGGCTTCTTTATGGATTTAGCCTCTCTAATACATTTAAAACATTAGTTTATATAAAGTCCACTTATGAACTTTTTAGAATATTTCTAGCACATAACACTGTATCTCATTACACTACAAATATAGCAACACCAAATATAACTCGTATCTAAGTTATAGAATCTTAAGCATGGGCAAAAAATTGACAGAGCATGTAGTTTTTTCTTTCGTGTCCTGGAAGAGGGAAAGATGTGTACTTTGCTCTGATTAGATATCGACATTGAAAGATCTCATAATATCTAGGTTTAATAATATACACACTTCTTTACATATGAATTCAATCTCTTTTGTTGCACTACTGTATTAATTCCCTCCTTTACTATCCTCAATATTTAATATATTGCTAACAGTTTTCAAGAAAAATATATATGCAACACTTAATGTGACAAATTTTTATTGAGCAACTATGAAGAAGATCACTCAAGGTCCTTAAGGAGCAGGAGGGCAGAGTGTATGAAAAGCATGCAAATACAATAATATTAAATATAAAAGAGTCTTAAGAAAAAAGAAAATATGTCCAAGGTGAGAGGAAAGATTTTTAGGTGATATATTTAGTTGTAGCATCATGAAATGCTTCAGGTAGGACACATTTGAGATCTATTTCAACATACCTAATAGAGAATTTTAAATGGCACATTAAGAACATGCCATTTAGTCAAGCCTTTTCCTAAAAGCTTTTTCTTAAAAGATAGCAAAGATCTGTTTTGATTGTTTGCTTCCCCATAAAGACAAGGTGTAAGAGAATGTGAAATGAGAAAACTGCAAAAAATTTGAAAGCAAACACAAGGGGAACCTTAAACTACCAGTGAGGAAATATGAGAATCAATTACGTTTACATCGTAGAATCCACAAAAGGCTAAGGAATAGGGGGCACTGAAAGTTGGGTAAAGGGGAGACTCAACATAAAGAGTCACAGGTATATCCTAAGACCCCCTTTCAGAATCTGCACAACTGGGCAACTTACAGTTCCTCATCACAGCAGAAGACTGAAGGTTTATCCCCTAGACAAGGTAAAACCGAGGGTCTCTGAATTGGAAGACACTGAGACAGGTGGGCTAAGTCAAAGTTGTATCAAATATTGAGACCCATGCTCCAGGTCCTCTTTCACCACTCAAAGACCAAACTGCCAGCGGCTGGACTTCAACCTCTAGTCACTAGTTTAGAAGACTTCTCTGGTGAATCTAATCGACCCCTGAAAAGGACCTCCTGAGAGGTTCCACAAACAGCTCACTCAGCTAACACTACTTTGACAAACCCTATCCACATGTATAGAATTTCCAATTCGTTCCTGATTTTAATACGAGGCAGAACAGTCTAAAAGTTAAAAGAAGAGGCAATAGACTCAGGCTACCTGGATTCAAATTCTAGCTCTGCCATTTATCAACTGTGTTACACTAGGCAAATTACTAAACATTTTGTGACTCAGTTTCCTCATTTCTCAAAAACAGATGATGACAATAATAATAATTAATATTAATGGTAACTAACTCTTAAAGTCATTATGAAGATTAAATAAGTTAAAATAGATGAAGCACTCAAAATGTCTGACACATTCTAAGCATTATATGTGTTTGCTACTTTATTATTAGTGCTTCACTCTTACATATGAGCGGACTGCCAGGGACAATTAAAGATATAAGTAAAATTTATAATGTGAAAAATAGAGACCAAGCAAAAAAAAGGAAGAAGGTGGAAGAAATGGAGACTGTATAGAAAAAAAAATTCAAAAAATAAATAAAAAATAAAAACTATAACTAATGCCTTTAGAGAGTTAACAGAAGATAGTATATCTATGAAATAAGAATGGGAAGACCTAATTTTGGAGGCAGTACAGAAGGTGAAGAAGGGGTGTATGACAAGACTAAGGTCTTGAAAATAAATATAATTACGGAAATGAAAAACTGCAGAGTATAAAAGAAAATGAAATGAACAGAGTGAAAGCATAACAAAATTACAAGACCCAGTCCAGAATAGACATCTTCTAATTATTAGAAATTCTACAAAGACAGAACAGAGAAAATAAAAAGGAAGAAATCATCAACAAAATAATTTAGGAAAATTCTCTAAAACCAAAGGATAGGATTTTCAGATATAATGGATCCTAAAGTATCCAAGAAAATAGAAAGGAAAAAAACCACTTTAAATCACACTAGAGACAAATGGAAAATCCTACAAGCTTCTAGAGAGATAAAATAGGTTTCATACAAAGGATAAAGAATATAACGGCATTCGATTTCACAATAGTGTCACTGGAAGATGAAAAACAATGGACCAATGCTTATAAAATTGTGAGGGGAAATGATTTGCAACATAGAATTATATAATCAGCCAAACTAACAAATACTTATGGTAAGAAAAGAATAGTCATAATCATACCCTCAAAGTCTCAAAAAAATATTTCCCAAACATTCTTTCTTAAAAAGCTATAGAGTAAGCCAAGGAAATAAGACACAGAAAAACATGAGATTAGGAAACAGGAGATCCATCTAAAGTGAAAAGAAAATGAATTCTCCCAAAATAATAGTGAAGTAAATTCCCAAGTTATCTATGTAGCAAGAATAGAAAGCAACCAGTCTACATTGGAACATATCAGAAAGCTCCTGTGAGATGTATTCAAACAAATGAAATCAATAGATTGTATCGTATCGTGTTTTACCATCATGAGAGTGA